TTTTTTTTTTAAATTTATTTATGATAGTCACACACACACACACACACACACACACAGAGAGAGAGAGAGAGAGAGGCAGAGACATAGGCAGAGGGAGAAGCAGGCTCCATGCACCGGGAGCCTGACGTGGGATTTGATCCCGGGGCTCCAGGATCGCGCCCTGGGCCAAAGGCAGGCACTAAACTGCTGTGCAACCCAGGGATCCCACCCAAAACTTTTTGAACGAGCACTGTCCAGAGGAACTTTCTGTGATGGTGGAAATGTTTTAATATCTGTGTTGTCCAGTAGCAACTGCATGTGCTATCCTTAAAATACCAGAGACTAAACTGGACTTTGAACACACAGCCACATTATGACTTTTGTGGGTATACACGTTTGCCTTCATGAGTCCCTTCCTCCATAAAAAATAAAAGAGAACAATTAAATTTTATTATTCCGTTGTTGTAAATACATTAATGTCATATATTAAAAAAGTTTGTTTGACTAAAAGTTCATCTTTTTTTTTTCCTTCTGATTTTAAAAGCAATTGAACATTTTCTTTGGCCCCTACAAGTACTGTGGGCTCTGGGCAGTGAGGAGGCTGTACCTAGTGGAGCAGTTACAGGCCTGTTTGGGAGGCTGTACTTTCTTGTTACAGAAGACCTCACATTTAAAACTGGCTGGTAATGGCCTATTCTTTCTTAAAAGATTGCAAAATGTATTTTGTGTGTAGTTCGGTGCAGAATAAATATCAATCGGTTAGAAATATTCAGAGATGTCCAGACTTTTCTTGTAACAATGTGAATATTTCTCTACTTTTGTTTTTTTAAGGTTTTATTTATTTATTCCTGAGAGACCCAGAGAGAGGCAGAGACCCAGGCAGAGGGAGAAGTCAGCTCCCTGCAGGGAGCCCAACGTGGGACTCTATCCCGAGACCCCGGGGTCACGACCTGAGCCGAAGGCAGACGCTCCACCGCTGAGCCCCCCAGGTGTCCCTCTACCTTTGTTTCTAATGTCCATTTTGGGTCTATTATTTTGCTTCTTCGAACACCACCACTGGCATCAGGTGGAGCTTGCCACGAGCGCAGTGTCAGCCTCCATCTGATAGTGAGTCAATTAGCGTTTCTGCAGGTGATTCACATGCATCTTACACTGAAGCACCGCTGGCCAGTGATTTTCTTTTCTTTCTCCCCTTTCCCTTTTTCCTTTCCTTTCCTTTCCTTTCCTTTCCTTTCCTTTCCTTTCCTTTCCTTTCCTTTCCTTTCCTTTCCTTTCCTTTCCTTTCCTTTCCTTTCCTTTCCTTTCCTTTCCTTCTTCCTTCCTTCCTTCCTTCCTTCCTTCCTTCCCTCTTTTTCTTTCTTCTTTCTTTCTTTCTTTCTTTCTTTCTTTCTTTCTTTCTTTCTTTCTTTCTTTCTTTCTTTCTTTCTTTCTTTTCTTTCTTTCTTTCTTTGTTTCCTTTCTTTCTTTTTCTCTTTTCCTTTCTTTTTTACGGCTGGCCAGTAATTTAAACAGGGTTGTTCACCATTAGCAGAAAGGGAAGAGCTGATTCCTTTAAGCTCATATAATTGTGGGCTGGCTCACCCTTCTCCAGCAGCAAAACGCAGTTACATTAGTCCAGCTGTTCCCAATCATCGGGATCCCCTGGGAGCCTTATAAAATACCAACATGCCCCCCCCAACCCCAGAGAACCTGAAATAATTGGTCTGGGGTGAGATTGTGGGAACCGAAGGTTTTTGTTTTGTCTTGTTTTTTAGTGCTTGTCAGGTGATGCTAATGTGTAGCTAAAATGAAAACTGTGAGCGCTCCCCCACGAGATTTGTCTCCTGGTTTTGATCAAGTTGGCTTCTTTTTTGTGTTCCCTGATCTTCTCAATCTAGGCAACCAAGTGTATGTTCCACAACTAGTTTCTGATCTCAGTCTGACATGTTCCATTAATTATCTGGAAGCTCTGAAGTGTTCTAATACTTCCGTATTTTGAAATCTTAGTTGCCACCATTTCCTGCATCCTTATGATGTGTTCCATAGTCACCTTCAGTCATTTAATCTTCACAATGACAGTAAATAGTATTTTTATGCCAATTTACAGATGAGGAAATGGAGGCTAGAAGGGTAGGATCTTCCAAGGCCATCTTATTTCTCCTGCCAGAATTTGTACCCCGGCCTCCACCTTACATTTATGGTCTTTTAGTATCATGCTGTTACTTAGAAAACACTGGTCCAGTTCTACCACGTGGTGGCCAAACATCAGATTTACAGTTACTCGACCTTTGAGAATCATTTGCAAATAAAATTAAGAGCAGGAGAGATTTAGATAGATAATAGAATCTGGAGCCGTTACACATCATTAAAGAGAAGTTTGAAAACTGGGATATAAATTCCTTCCTACATAACTGATGGAATAGTTCACTTACAAAACCCAATTTCATTTTATTTATTTCTAATTAAGTTTTTATTGGCGTTCCATTTGCCAATATATAGCATAACACCCAATGCTCATCCCACCAGGTGTCCCCCTCCGTCACCCCAACCCCCCGCCCACCTCCCTTTCCACTACCCCTTGTTCATTTCCCGGAGTTAGAAGTCTCTCATGCACAAAACCCAATTTTAAATACTCCGGAGCTAGAGTCTCAATACAGGTATTAAAGACTCCACAGGCGCCCTAGTTAGGACTGTGGAGGTGACGGGGATAAGAAACAGTCTTTGTACTTGAGACAAGAGAGGTTGAGAACCTGTAACAGTCTGACATATGACAGTGACTATAATCACATGCTTAATTGTGGTAAGGTCATTAAGCTCCGTCCAAGTCCAGAGGCCGGCAGAAACCAGGACAACGAAGAGGGGTTTATGGAGGAGGTCTGTAAGGGTGATTAACTGGGAAAGACAGAACTGAGCTGGGACCCTGGCATCCTACTCACAGGAAGCTAGAATTTTCCCAACGGATTTACCCACCCGGTTTCTTTTTGGGCGAATGTCCCTGTCTGGGGATTGACCCTACGCAGGCTTTGAAGTCTAAACAGATGGGGTCCTCGCCAAGTTTAGTGCCGAGTGTCCAGAGTAACCTGTACCTAGAGGAGCAAAGTCAATCAGACGCAAAGGGTCGTTGACACACCTGACAGCTTCCTGCCTCATATATTCACCGGCTTCTTTTAAGGTTGCTCGCGTCTACTTTGCTTAATATTTGAACCGAGGGAAGTTGAAAGCCAAGTACTTATTTAAATATTGATCATGCTCAGAGCTTGCCAGAGGGCCAGAAAGCCGCAGATAGCCTGATTATCCGTCCTCGGCTGGGAAAGGTTCCACCATTCCGGGTTGTGCTGGTTTCTTTTTAGCGGGGAAGGAGTTTTAGGTGACCTCCTGCCATACTTGTTCCTCCTCCCATACTTTCTTACTTTTTTTCTCGCTACGTGTCTGACACAATTAATGAAAAAAAGGAAAGAGAAAGAAAAACACACGGTGATTCCATCCTAGTGGCGTCAAAAGACTGTTAATACCAAAGGCTACTAACACCGTTTTTTGCTTATCAGAACTTGGGAACCATTTTTACCGTTGGAATTTTTTGTTGTTTTTCAGAAGAATATTACTGTTGTTATCTGGAATACCTTGAAGTCTTGGCCTGGGCAAGAACTTTCTTTTTTCTTTTTCTTTTTTTTTTTTTTTTTTTTTTTTTTTTAAGGCAGGGCCTGAGGCCAAGCCTAGGGTTCGCCCACACGTGAAACAGAATCACCTGGGGCTGCAGCTGGGGTTAGGGGCACGGCCCAGTTAGGAAGGCAGACCCCAGGGAGGCCTTCAGGGCAGGACCCAGGTGTTTTGCTACCTTCCAGCGGCAAAGGGGGCGACGCCTGGCGAGGCTCAGAAGAGGCGCAGGTGGCCCGGACGCAGGCAGGTGGGGTGCTCCTCCCTGCCCGGGGTCTTGGGCGCCAGAATCCTGGGGCCACCCGGTGCCGGGCCTTGGCACAGCCCGCCGTTCAGGGGGGCTCCCAAGGAAAGGCGATTTGGGAATTTTGCCTTTAAAGTTGGTCTCAAGTTTGCTTTGGGAGGCCGGGCTGCTGGAGAAGCCGCTCTCCTGGGGGAGGCTCAGCCGAGCGGGGAAGGCGCGCGAGCCGGTAAGGGAGCCCTCCAGCCCTGCATCCCCCCGCACCCCCATCCCCCCGACCCCGCATCTGCCCCACGCATACCCCCGACCCCGGATCTGCCCCCGCACCCCGCATACCCCCCAGCTCCGCATCCCCCCGCACCCCCATCCCCCCGAACCCCTGATCTGCTCCCGCACCCCGCATCCCCCCCAGCCCCGCTTCACCCCCCGACCACCCATCCCCCCGACCCCGCATCCTCCACCCATCCACCCTCCCCCGGTTTCACTGTGGAGACGGTGATGGTTTCCATGAAGGCTCCTGGGTCCCGGTGGCACTCCGCGGGAGCTCGCACAGCTGGAGGCGCGCGACCCCCCAGGGTGCGGGGGGCGCCTGGTCGGGGGGCCTCAGGCCGCGCTGTAGCGGGGATGGGGCGTCAGCTGCGCGCTCGGCCCGGCCACTTCGCCCCCCCGACCGACCTCGTCGGCGCCCCGGGCCGGGAGGGGCTGGCGGGGCGGCTTCGGGTTGCGTCCTGGGGCAGGGCGGGGGCGGGCGAAGGGGGCGCGGGAGGGGGTGCGGGGAGGGGGGTGCGGGGCGGGGGGGCGGAGCTGTGGGTGCAGGCACAAGCACCTGCTCCGCCCCCGCCCCCTCCCTCCTCCTCGGCCCCGCCCCTCCCCTCCGGCCCCGCCCCTCCCCTCCGGCCCCGCCCCTCCCCTCCGGCCCCGCCCCCTCCCCTCCGGCCCCGCCTCTCCCCTCCCCTCCCCCTCCCCTCCGACCCCGCTCCTCCTCCCCGGCCCCTCCTCCCCGGCCCCTCCTCCCCGGTCCCTCCCCTCCGGCCCCGCCCCTCCCCCCTCCCCGGCCGCGCCCCACCCCCGGCCCCGCCCCCTCCCCGGCCGCGCCCCTCCCCCGGCCCCGCCCCCTCCCCGCCCGCCCCCGCCGGCGTCTGCGGCTCGGGGAGACCTTCCCGGCGCGGGTCGGCGCGGGGCGGGCGCGGCGGCTCTCCGGGGCGAGGCGGCGGGCCCGGCTCCAGGTGCGTGCTCCTCGGGGTGCCGACCCCGCGTCTCTCGGTGGCTCAGGGCAGGAAAGTTTGTTCCCGGGAACACGCTCTCCGGGGGCGGGGGGGGGGCGCGGGGACAGCGGAGGTCGGGGCGGGGGCCGCTGCTGGCTCCGGGGCGCGAGCGGGGGCGGGACGGGGGCGGGACGGGGCCCCCAGGGATGGTGGTAGCTGCTGAGCCTGGGGGCAGCCGGGGGCGCACGGAGGCGGCGGCTCCCCGGTGCCCTCCCCCGCCCCTGTGTAGCCCAGCTCCCGTGCCCTCTCCCCGTGCCCTCCCTCTCCCCTCCCCTAGTGCCCTCCGTGCCCCCTCCCGTACTGCCCTTCCCCTCCCCGCGCCCCCCCGCCCCCCCGTGCCCTCCCCCCGTGCCCTCCCTCTCCCATCCGCTAGTGCCCCTCCGTGCCCCCTCCCGTACTGCCCTTCCCCTCCCCGCGCCCCCCCGCCCCCCCGTGCCCTCCCCCCGTGCCCTCCCTCTCCCATCCCCTAGTGCCCCCCGTGCCCCCTCCCGTACTGCCCTTCCCCGCCCCCCTCGCCCGGCCCCCTCGTGTCCCCCCTCTCCCCTCCCCTAGTGCCCCCCCGTGCCCCCTCCCGTACTGCCCTTCCCCTCCCCGCTCTCCCCCCGCCCCCTCGCCCGGTCCCCTCGTGCCCCGCCTCTCGCCTTCCCCTAGTGCCCCCGTGCCCCCCCACGCTCCCCCAACCCCGCTGCAGGACCCCCGGGCGGAGGGAAGTTCCCGCAGGGCGGCGCGCGGGGAGCGGGGGTCCTGGGTGCGGGGGGCGGGGGGGGGGGAGCGGGGAGCCGACCCGGAGCCGGAGCCGAGGGGGCGCAGGCTGGCGTTCCAAGCGCGCTCCCTTGGCGGGGAGGCCCCTGCTGCTCCCGGAGGCGCCCGCAGCTCCGTGGCTCAGGGCGGGGGGCGCGCGCCGGCTCATCCCCGCGGGTGCCTGGGGAGGGGGGCCGCCCAACGGAGCCCTAACCTGCTGGCGCCGCGGGGGCCACAGGGCCTTGGTCTTCGCCAATGGGCTGTGGAAGGCGGTGCCCAGGCCGCCTCGAAGACCCGGCTCTGGGGTCCCAGCCGGCTGGATCCCTAGGGGGGGCCCCCCTGCCTCCCGAGACAGGCCGCGGCCCCGTGTGTGCGCGGCCTCCAGGACCCTGCCTGGGTCTGGACCCACCTCTGCAGACCCGGAATCTTGCAGGTTCACCATCCGGCCCGCCACTCGTGGGAGAAACGAAAAAAAAAAAAAAAAAAAAGAAACCAGACCCTCATCATTTATGGTCCTGTGGGGTTTCTAGTTTTCTGAAGCTTCACCGTGCTCTGTTCTTGGGCCCTAAGCTGTCAGAGAAAGCGGAATCCCGTTTCCACAGCAAAAACACCTGTCCTGCTAGGTGATCTGGGTTGTCCTTTGCACATGACAGTCCAAGCAGAGTAAGAGGAGAGGTTTTTACATACGTCCTGGATTTTACAGGTGTGTCCTTAAAACATCTCTGTATTTGCCGCCTCTTGGTGAATGGTGGAGCTAGGCCCTGTGGAGTACGTGGAGGGCAGGAAATGAATCCCGCAAAAACCTTTGGAACTTCTTTCTATATCATAGAATCTCAACACTATGAGCCCTGCCGTAAATCTTCTGTGGGATTATTATGCCCATTTAACTTTAAGAATTTGGATCACATCAGACCTCACATTTAGTGGTTAGAGAAACTGAGGCACACAGGTGACTCGTCCTGGCTAATAGTAGGATGGAGGATGGAGAATTAGTGTTTGTTCTGCTTTGGACTGTTTCTTCCTTGTCACAACCATATAACCTGGCCAAGAAGAGGTTATGTAACAGGTGTCATTAGACGTTCCTTTGAAGCACCTGTCCTGCCCTTTAAGAAGTCTAGAAACACTTAAAGGGGAAAAATGGTAACTGTGGCTTGATGAAACGTCATCAGAGGCCTCATCTGGAGTTCACGCCTTTTTTTTTTTTTATCATGTAAGTACTGCAAGAAGAGTTTAGAATATTTTCTCATTGTACTTTTATAAGAAAGTTCTTCGGTGGCTAAGACAAAATTAGGCAGAAATTGCAGGTGAGCTCTGATACGTGGCCTTTAGTATGTGCCATGTGGGAAAAGTATTCTCAATAGGTATTGAAACTGGAATACAATACTTATATTAGGCATTATGCTCAAAAGTAAGTACTGTATTGATACCTAAGCTCTAACTTAAAGCCTTGCCAGAGTCTATGACCAAGTAGACTCCCCAGAAAAATGGATGATATGGATATTGTAAAACCCTCTACGGTTGGGGCTTGGCTAGGATAGTACTGCCACATAAGTCTGGTAGATGATGGTAGAGCCCAGACTCCTAGGCTGACTGTAATTTTATTATGCTTTGATTTACTGATAAGATATGATAGATCTAGTTGCCGTAGGTTTTGTCTAATTGAATCTGAACGTAGATTGCTTTAGTAGAACAGAGAAGCTGTAGGATAATTCTTTCATGTGACTTTGCCACAAAGAGATGGGTCAGGTTGGGTGATTCCTATTTTGGGTTCTAAATTTCAGTTGATTTCCGGTCTCAGGTACTTTTCTGGTTTTAGAGTTTTCAGGATCTGTTGCTTTTGTTGTTGTTGTTGTTGTTTTTAGATTTATTTGAGAAAGAGCATGCACATGCCTGTGGAGTGGCTGAGGGAGAGGGGAGAGAGAATCCCAAGTAGGTTCCCCACTGAGTGCAGAGCCCTCACAAGGCCTTGATCCCATGACCCTGGGATCGTGACCTGAGCTGACATCCAGATCGGGAGGCTCAACGGACTGAGCCATCCAGGCATCCCAGGATGTGTTGCATTTTGTGGGCTTTTGCACACTTGACACTTAGACATTTGACTGGTAAAACGCCAGGTACCTTTGTATGATCGTGCATCTTAATCAACTGTAATTTTTTTCCTTAATTTGATCTTGGCACAGTAGTAATTTGCTTATTTCTACCATTACTGCTCCTGGACTACTTCTCCTGGATAACCAAGATAATGAGATTTGACATAATTTTTTAAATGAGGGAAAGCAAAAAACGTCACATAATTGAATATTGGGCATTTGTTCCAGTGATCTTCATTTTGAATCCATTTACCAGATGGGTTTTTTTTTTCTTCAGAGGTGATTTCTCCTTATTTTTTCCCCTTAATTTGAGGTTTCATTTGTATAAGAAGTTAATGAGAAAGTTTCTTTAAAAGAAAACCTTGTATCTATGAGGGAGGGCCAGCAAGGTGGAGACCGGCAAGGACATGTTTGCTTTCCTTGGTAGCGTGTCCAGAAGAGACCGACTGAACCAGCCTATTTCAAGTGGCAGGCTTTGTTTGAGAGGTGTACACGTGACCGTTTCACCCTTGAAAAATACTTAAAATGTTAACTATTGAAATATACAGACCTTCCCGTGACATGTTAATCAAGAGATCAATTGCCTGTTAATGAATTCATGGTTTAGTTCCTAGGTTCGTTGGCAAACACAAGTTATGCCATTTGTGGCTTAAGGCTAGCTTGTGCTCCTTCCCCACATCACTTGGTAACTTAAAGAAATTCTCTAAAACTTATAACAAAGTAAGTAACAGTGGAGACTCTGGAGCCAGACTGTCTAGTTAGACAGCCTGGCCCTGTCCCTGCTCTGTGACCTCTTTCTCCCTCAAGTTTTCCTTTGGTAAAACGGGGATAATCATTAAAACCTGCCCCATTGGGTGGTTTTGAAGATTCATTGAGGTAATTTACAGAAGGCCCTTCTAGAAGCACCTGGTGGAGACTGAGTGCTAGAAAACGTTGGTAGTTATATTTATGACAAACAGAAAATAGTCAAGTAGAGTTTTAGCTTTAGCAGGTTTTCCAGGTTTCAGAGGGCAATGAGAGGTCAACATGGACGTGGCCTGGACCGGGAGTCAGGGACGGAGTTAGCCCGTACAACTTGCTAATGTCTCTGACCTCACGTTGGGTCTCTCCTTTCTACCGAAAACCTAGTGCCATCCTCAAAGCAAGCTCAAGCATACTTCCGGAACCTTTGACCATCTTAATACTAAGCTCTTTCCCTCCCGAGCTCTTTAACATATTGCCGGTCCCTCTGGTTTATTCAACGTTGATCACCTTCCCTGATTTCATTATGGGCTCCTACGTGTCAGTCTTGACTTTCCAACCTGTCAGCTCATTGAAAGCAGAAACCCTGATTTAGGCCACTTTGCAGGGAGCTCAGATCAGACAGAGTAAGCTCCTGTTGGTAGTTTTGCAGACATGTCAGCAAGTCCTTTTGGTTCATGGCCTTTCTGTAAAGGCCACTGTCCGTGTTTTTCTGTGCAGCAGGTGTGTGTTGCATTGGGAAATACTGGTTTACAGGAGAAGAAAGGTGAGGGTTGCCCAGGAGGTTAGAGGACTAGCCCTTCTCAGATGTAAAGGGGCAGCTCCACAGGCCCCTTCAGAAATTGTATGTTCTGTCTGGGTAAGTGAGTGCAATTGTTGAGGAAAGTCCGAGCCTTAGGATTGAGAGAAACCTGAAACTTTCCTGTTAGCCTCTAGCAGATGCACAGCCCCTCCGTGTAGCTACTTGGGAGTATTTGACCGCTTGAATGCTACTCTTGAATACTTGAAGTGCTGGGGAGCTGATACCATAAGGATACCCCAACCTATCTCTTTTCCCCTCTCAACTTGATTGACAAATATAAGCATCTGTATTTGGAGTGTACGACATGCTACGTATGTTGGGGAATGATTACCGAGGTCAAGATAGCGAATCTTTATGTCCTGCAGTGAAGTTCTTTGTGTATGTGGTGTGAACGCTTGAGGTCTGCTCTCAGGAGCTTTACGCAACGCTGTATTAACCACGGTTAACATGAGGGGTATTAGATCCGCAGAACTTACTCTTACAGGTCAAAAGGTAAAAACTTTGCCATCTTAACATTTCCTCGTTTTCCCTAGCAACCACCATCCCATTCGGTTACTTCAAGGACCCTAAGATCATGATCTAAGCCA